AAAAATCAGGAAGGGGGCCAACACTTTTTCACACCACAGTATATATTAGGGCTTTCGCGATTCCTCTATTTTATTAGACTATTCGATTTTTAAAAATCCTCGACTTCATTTTTCTCGCGTCGACTAACCGTCAAAATACCGGAAGTGGCGCATTTCACAGAGAGAATGTATAAAACACATTATTAGTCTGTTTTCCAAGGCTGCATGATATATTAAACCCATTTAAAAAAAATTAAGCATAATAGTGAATTCACAAATGCTACGATTTCATTTAAAAATTATATGCGATGCAGTTCTAATACAGTATATGCGCTTTAATTATTTACACGTGTGTAGGTTAAGTACGTGCGTCACACAGCGGCTCCGTTCACAGTAGTTCCACAGGAACTGTTATCATTTACATGTGTGGAGCGGCTCAAACGCCATCTCTGCATGTTGTTGTGAGTTTGGGTTTATTATAACTTTCATCGGGAACCCAACGTGCGCCATTTCATCAGATTTGTAAGGTAAATCATTTACAAATCCACGCAAACACAGGAGAATACATCATTATCTCGTGGTTTCAAAATAAAAGCTCAAACCCTCACTCTGAGTTTACACGTTTTGATGTCCACATATTCTTTAAATTACAGTGGCTATAGCATTTCTGTCCTAAAGAAATGGCCAAATATTAAAGATCAAGTGGACATTTGAATTAACTGATGCTTGGTCAATATTAAACAAGTATTAGATCGCACAGTAATGTGTAAAAACAATCGTCAGGCCTTTGGCGCCCTCTGCAGGCCTTTGTTGTAATACATTATATTGTTGTCGATAAATTAGTCGATAGATGAATCGAAATGTAAATAGTCGTTAGTGGCAGCCCTAATTATATATTATATTATATTATATTATATTATATTATATTATATTATATTATATTATATTATATTATATTATGCACGGATTCATTGGCCCAGGAACTCAAAACTATTCACCTTGATGAGTCTAGCTTCTAAGTGAACACAAAACACTATTACTTAGAGTTACTCAGCTGTAACTAAAGTGCTGTTGAATTTAATCCTGTGTTCCACTAACGAACCATAACAAACATGGTGCAGAGCTCCATACATCTGTCCTACAACAGTTAGTTAAACACCCATATGGATAATGCAATCAGAATCTAATTCATACAGTCTACAAGCAGTATCTTAAATGGCAATGGCACCTCTGTGAAGATCACAAGAGGCTCTAAACGTTTCAGAAAGGTGATCTGTGTTTCCAAAACATAAATCACATGAATATAATGGCAGTCTGGGTTATGGTGCTTTGAAGTGCACTTTTTTCTGAGAACTAATTTGATTGAAGACTTTGGCAAATCTATTTGTACATAACGGTCAGTATCTGATGTAGCATACAGGAATAAAATGAGGGTTATCAGTAATAGTGAAAATGACAGACCTTGCTTCTCCTGTCCAGCTTGGCTGTCCCATCCCAGAAAGTGCAAGTTAGCCAGGGCCTGTGCGATTTTTTCATCAACTGCACTGTGTTGTCCCACTGTGCATCTGTGCTCTGGATTAAACTCTGATGTTCCTGAGGCTTCTATCTGGCTGAAATTCCCCTGTTCACAAACACTGAGCCCCTGTTCTGCTAGGCTTTCCAATCGAAATAATTCCTTTGGATCACAAATCCCATCTGCCCCATGCTGGCCAGTCTGGTCTAAATGGTTAGTCTCAGATGAAAACATTTTCTCTGGGTAGAACTTTCTTAGGATATCCTGATAGCTGCTGGATGTCAAGTTCATCAGCTGCTCTGCCACCTCTTGTGCTTCATCCCGCATATACTCCAGAGAGAGCTGTCCTGAATTGCAGAGGGGGCTGATGGGACTTCTGCTGCCCCTCAAACAGCAGTAGATCTCCACAGATACTTTCTCTGGAACATCGTGGCCTTGACGGAGAAAAGGCGAGAACATTTCGGTGAGGCAGCTCATCAAATATGTTAAATGATACCTCTTCTATCTGCTCATGATGGACTACATCATTTTGATCTTGTTTATCTTGTTGTCTAACCACACTATATTTGCTTTATTTTGTTCGTTTCCATCAGTGTTTTCAGACAGATGCTCTATCTACTTTTTTATATTTGGTCATTTGTGATTTTGTTTAGCTTTTTGTTTTACAAAGTTTGTTTTACAGCGTCTTAAACTAAAGGCTGCTGAAAAAAGGACAAGTCCTTCAATATGTCCTAAACATTAAAAACTAGGGTAATATTTGTACATCACGGTATTGTCTTGTGTTATGGTCTTGATTCAGGTCACATGGCAAAACACAAAAACAGGATGTTATGAACACTGGAACTTTATATTATAGGAAGAAATCAGGCACTGGCCCATTTTTGCTTTTACTGACACTTAAAGCCATCAGGTAACATGAGCTCACAACTCTATTTCATTATGTTTCAAGACTGAACTATTTCTTTCAGGTATTTGTTGCCTTCTAACTATTTGTTTCCATAGAAACACTTATTCTTCACTCCTCACTATATACAAACAAGCACTATTACTATACAGCACTGTACTGGTTTCCATGTCAACAGGAAATCCCCTTACAGTCCAGTTCACACCAACGATGATAACCATAAAGATAACTATAACTTTAAAGTTTTAATAATCATTCTAACTCTATGAAAATAGGTAAGACCACACCACAACTATAGAAATAACGACAATATCAACAATATCTTTGGAATCATTTTCAGAGCATTTATTTTTCCAGATGACGGATGATAAAAGCATTGACAGCCAATCAGAATCCACCTGACAAGAGTGCTCAAGCATTTGAAGCGGCAGATGAAAAAAAAAACTACAGCACGTTTCAAATAAACTATGTTAACGTGCGTTGACGTAGATGCCAATATAGTTATTGTTATAGTTCTTGGTGTGAGCTGGCCTTTACACAATCAAAGAAAATTGGCCTATATACACATCTATTAAACCCTGTGATTTATTCAGTGTCTTACCGGGCACAGTGAATCTAATTGAACCTTGATCCTCGGTCCTGTGAGCTGTAGTTACATGGTGAAGGAACGAGCCTACAAGGACCACATAATAGTCAACTTCTTCTTGAATACACGGTGACACCTGCAGCTTCACAAAGACCTCCACCTGACCCTGAGAGAAAGACAATTACATCCACATTATGATTTGTGTTACACACAGCATGTCATAATGGATTCATCAAAAAATTATTTTTAAAGCCAAGACAAATCTTTGGAAATGGAGCTTATTATTCAGGCAAATAAAGTTCACTGAAATGTTATGTTAGTCAAAATGAAAATGAAACAAACCGAGAGAAATAATGATAGACAGGGAAAAGATTGAGAGAGAAGACCAGTGAGAACGAGAGAGAGTCTTATTGTTTTTGTTAAAGGGGACATCAGATTATATTTTCACTTTTTTACCTTTTTTTTTTTTTGCATTTAGTTGGGTTTCTGGTGTGTCTGCCAGCTCAAAAAAGCTGAAAAGAAAACACACAGCCAGTTTGTTATGGGCTGTCTGAGTCTGAAACCGTGTAATCCAGCGAGCTGTTTCAATTTGCAGATGGTTTCTATGCAGATAGATAGCTAGCTATTTGAATAAAACCATGTTCGAGCCATATACGGATTTATTCATGTGTCTGGAGTTGACACGCGAGAGGGGTGGGGTGAGCATTAGCTCATTATCATTTAAAGAGACATGCACCAAAGCAGGTCGCTGTGAACAGAGCTGTTTTTGACAAGGTAAAAAGGGTGTTGTTTTACACAACCACTACGGCATTTTAACCAGAGTATGTTACAGATATTTCATGAAGACCCTAAAGAATCATACCAACTTGTGGAAAATGGGCATCTGATGTCCCGTTTAATATTAGCTTGTTAATGCTGTTACTATATGAAGTCTGGTGCTGCAGTGGTAAAGTACACTGAAGATTGAGACCATATGAGACTTAAGTTATGCAATCTGGACCTCCAACGTCTTTGACTCAGCAGCATTAGGTGAAAAAGGAGGATATGAAATGTTTTCCATTATCTTCAGCCATTTTGATTTGTTCACTGAACATTGGGCTCTTCCTGTATAGACTTGTTTGCATAGAAATTTGGTTATACCACAGCAAAGGACATAGCTAAATCATGATGTAAATTTAAAGCAAAAAAAAAAAACACACACACACCCTTAAATCAGCCCCGTTCCTAAGGCCTTAGACTGAACTATGATTGAAAAAATAACATCTTTTTGCACATTTTACAGAAGCTTTCTGTCCTAAACCCTCAAAGTCGTGTAGACAGTGTTACTGCATAATGTTATTGGACACTTTTGTTTATCTACACTGTATTACCTATAACTAAGTATTTTATGTAAAGGTGTACATACTTAACCTTATTGTGGACAAATTTGTACCCAGAAGTGAACTAAATCTGACAAAATCTCCCAAAATCTCCATTTGGGGATGTCCTCTTCTAAACACAGTATAAAAATAAAGTGTTTTCATTGTAAAAATGCAGAGAGTTTTCCGTTTAGGTTAGGGTATAGTATTTATAACTAGCTGTATATAAAAACAAAAGAAGTCTATGCAATGCCCTCATTTAGATAGCTAAGTAAATGTGTGCGTGCGTGCAGGCGTGCGTGTGTGAGAGAGTGTGTCTGTATGTGTGAGAAGAGAGAGAGAGAGAGAGAGAGTGAGAGAGAGAGAGAGAGAGAGAGAGAGAGAGAGAGAGAGAGAGAGAGAGAAAGAGAGAGAGTAACAGTAATTCTTTATTTAAAGTGTATGAAGTCTACGCCAAGGCTGTATGTTTATCGGTCTTTCTGGTCTCAGATGCAGCTGTTGAAGATCAACAGTACCGTCAGAACTGACTCTGTGACAGACAAATGAAAATGAACTGATTGTGCTGGTGTTGAACCTGATTACGAAGCAATTGCTTTACTCCGAATTAAGATTCTAAAGAAAGTGTAAACAAAGTTTGCCTGGTGGAACAAACTGGTCTTGGTTTTTAGTTAAAATGAAGTTCAAGTATGGGAAATTTATCCATTCATGAGGCTCTGAATAAAATGCTGTTTGTTTATTTCATATTGGGAGCCTTAAATGCTGATTATTAGATTGTTTAAACAAAGTAATTAGGGTGATTAATCAGAGGCTGGAGATCTTGATTAGTACTATGCTCAGCTCTATTGTTTCACTGAATATCAACTATTTTTTTCCTCCAAAAAAATATACAACATTTTTTGACTGTGATCTCATGGAAGAGAACTTTAACTTTAACTAAAAAGGAACTTTAACTTTCATTAGTCACTAACAAACATTATAGGCCTCATGTTTAACAGATCAATGGTTCACGTACATTTAAATAAGTTTTAAAATACTGTATATGACTATTTGAATATATGATACATGTTAATGTTATTATATGAACTGTAAGATGAAGTGTTACCATCTTTACATTTATGTGCAATACTGTACCATACAACAGAACGGTATGAGCACTACAATAAACAAAGAACAAGTTTGCTAAATACATGAGAAATAAAGAGCCACAAAATCTCAAACAAAATACAACCAGAATCATGGAAAGTTATCCTAAAAGAACACAGAGCCACTATGTATATCAACAAATGCACACAAAAAATAACAAATCCATAAGCACAATAATTCATCATCAATGCAGGCATTCACATACTGTACACTTACCAACACACACACACACAGCCCATAGACATTTACCCATAATTCCATGCTCTGATTTCATTAAACAGACCCTGGATCAAAGAAACACCTTGTAAAAGAGGGAGGTGAACAGTAAATTCAGTCTCGCCAGAGGCATGTGTGTGTGACAAGTCACTTTTCTCTTTCTCCCTCCATTCAACATAAAGCCGCCGTTTGATTGTTTGCCTTCCTTCACCAGACGTCTCCCTCACTTCCTGTCATTTAAGAGGCCCTGCAGAAATAGTGATGAGGGAGAAAGAAGGGATACAGAGCAGGTTTGGTGTGGGAATGAGGGAAAGGTGAGGTCTCTACTATTTTCTCAGGCTCTGTATAGGGATGAATGATGAGCATGGGATTCTCTCTGCTCCTCCTCTTTTCTTTCCTCACTCTGCCTCTCAGTTATGCAGATTCACAGAGTTCCTCTCTCTTTCCACACAATCTTGCTGTCGTTTTGCAGTTAATAGCAGTAAAACTCTCATATCCTTAATCTAACAGACCCAGTTTTAGTTCTACTTGCAAACATTATGGGTGTTGTGGCCAAAACCTTACATCACAAGATGAGTCATGTTTAAAAATGGTTTCTATTTTAATCAGCATGTGATACTTCCCATTTCTTGACAATCCAGTAGGCTAAATTAAATACTAAAAAAGAAAGGTTACTGATTATTTTCTCATTTTATTTGGAAACTGGACAAAACCAAAAGATAAGACTGCTCATAAGAAATGAAATAGTCTGGCATCAGTGGAAAAACAGCTGCTTCACAAAGTAACACTTGAATTAAAAAATATATATAATAATTAAAAAAAATCAAAATACATATGTGTGTGTGTCTATGTATGTACTGTATGTATTTAGATTTTTTGAGGAAAGACTACACAAAAACATTTGCTCTCAGCATTGTTTTTTGGAAAACAAGCCAAAAATACTGATTTAGAAATCAATGCTATAGTCACATCAACAATATTTACTGAAACTCATGAATCATGATTATTTCAAAAATTGTATGCAACAGGTGGAGCACAGCAGTTAGCAAGTGTATATTTTGCCCTATGTTTAGTCTTGTCATGCTGGCTTATATATTAAGAAAAGAGCAGAAGCTAAATTACTGCAGTTACTCCAGGGATCGATGAGAGGATGTTATTGTCTCCAGCACCTGTTTACAGACTAGTTCCTGGCAGAAAAACACCTCACTAATACACTGGTCCCTATGGACGGCATGTGTGTGTTCCCTTACCAGTGACATAACTACCGCCACCTGAGAAGGGTGTGTATGGGTTCTCATGTTCAAACAGGATTCATGTCCAAATGCATGTTTAGAATTGCTATTCAGTAGTGATTATGTCTTTCTACCATCTTTTCAGACATCTGTACATCTCACAGTTTACAGCATCTAATCTATCTGACACACAATATTTACATTTTAAAACAAAATAAAGCAAATTTTAAACAGAATAAAAACCACTTTAGTCAAGGCTTTAAGAAATAGGTGCAACACTAAGCAGTGGCGGCTCGTCGGGGGAGGCAGGGGAGGCACAGCTTCCCCATAATTTTGAGGTGAAAATGGGAGGAGGACGATTTAATGTTAATAAAATTCACAATTCATTTCAGTTCATGTCTCAGAATGTGTATTTTTTTGTTTGTAATTTCAGTTGTAATATCATAACGTGAAAGCGCCGCTTTTCTATCGCGAATGTGCCGAATCTGCTGATGTAATTACAACCGCTAGGTGATAGAGAAGGGGAGGGGGAGGCCGGGGGAGAGCCGAGCTCTCGTGCCTCCGTTGGTAAAAAAAATTAGTCAATCACCATCGAGTGTTCACTTTCAGCGCTGAGGAGTGTTGAGAAAAGAACCCTTGCAAGGGAGGCTAGCCTTCCCTTCTGATATCAACCAATCATCAAAGAGACG